AGAGATGCAAACCGTGGTGGACTAAGGAGTGCACAACCACTCGCAAGGACCAGAATAAAGCCTGGGGAGTTTTTCGTCGGTACCCTACCAATCAAAACCTAATTGCATTCAAGAAAAGTAGGGCTAAGGCGAATTGGACACGAAAACAGGCTAAGAAGGTTTCATGGACCAAATATGCCTCTTCTATAAATAGCCTTGTTCCAGCGAAGGAAGTGTGGGACCGCCTGCGAAAAGTCCGAGGCGACTATTAACCTTTCCGAATCCCTCTTTTTCCCTTGCCTGCCGAATCTCTCAAAGATCAGGCAAATGTTCTTGGTATGCACTTCCAACATATATCTAGTTCTTCCCACTTTAGTGTAAAGTTTCAGAAGTTTCAGTCTACTGCTGAAAAGCAATCAATCTCGATGTCAGGATATGACCGGGCAGCTTACAATAGACCGTTCAGTATGTGCAAACTGGAAGTGGCGCTGGGTGTAAAAAAGCAGTCTGCACCAGGCCCAGACAGGATTCATTACGAAATGCTGAGGCACTTGTCCCCAACATCATTAAGTCATTTGCTTATGTTTTTTAATCATCTATGGAAGGTAGCTGCTTTCCCTCGATGCTGGAAAAGCGCCCACATCATTCCTCTTCTGAAGCCCGGTAAAGACCCCTCTCTTCCAGCGAGTTACCGTCCCATTGCGCTCACTAGTTGTCTTGGGAAGACTTATGAAAGGCTCATCAACCGGCGTCTGGTGTATTTTCTGGAGGAAGAAAATATTTTGGACATTAATCAGTGTGGATTTCGGGAGGGACGATCAGCCACAGACCATTTGGTTCGTTTGGAGACTTTTATCCGTGAGGCATTTGTACATCGGCAGCATTGTGTCTCGGTATTCTTCGACTTGCAAAAGGCCTATGATACCACATGGAGGTATGGAATTCTTCGGGATCTACACAACTGTGGGGTACGAGGCCGTATGCTCCAGTGAATACAGAATTTTTTAAGCGACCGGACTTTTCAGGTCCGCTTGGGTTCTACTCTGTCCGATGTGTTCCCCCAGGAAAATGGAGTTCCTCAGGGAGGAGTTTTAAGTGTTACTCTGTTTGCTGTAAAAATTAACAGTCTTGCAAGTGTGATTCCACCGTCTGTGTTTTACTCATTGTATGTGGATGATGTGCAGATCTCCGTTTCTTCTTGCAACCTCTCTAGCTGTGAACGACAACTACAACTTACAGTCAATAGGATGAGCAAATGGGCAGATGAAAACGGTTTCACCTTTTCTCCCGAAAAAACTGTCTGCGTTCCCTTTTCGCTCCGCCGGGGATTGTCCCTTGATCCTCCTTTGCATTCCTGGCGAACACAAATTTGTGTTCGCCAGGAACACAAATTTCTGGGCATAATCCTTGACAAGAAGCTCACTTTTGTACCTCATTTGAAAGAATTGAAGTGCAAATGCTTAAAATCATCAAACATTCTCAAGGTGTTGTCCCACAACTCGTGGGGGTCCGACAGGCGCTGCCTCCTGCGACTCTACAATTCCTTAGTTCGGTCTCGCCTCGACTATGGTGCAATTGTGTATGGATCTGCACGTCCATCTACACTAAAGATGCTGGATCCGGTTCATCACCTGGGGCTCCGACTGGCTACAGGTGCTTTTCGCACATCACCTGTGTTGAGTTTATATGCAGAAACCTTTCAGATGTCTCTCGAGAAGCGTAGACAGTACCTTAGCCTTTCTTATGCTTGCAGGGTCTATTCTGACCCGCAACATCCATCCTACACTAGCATCCGTACCTGTCGATTCTCTCAACTTTTTGGAAACAAGCCATGCGTCGTGCGTCCTATTAACTTCCGCATTCAAAGCCTTTGTGCCTCCCTCCAGTTTTCACTGAATGATGCTGTCATACTAAAGCACAAAGAAAAAGTTTCTCCGTGGGACGAATTGCCGATTTTCTGCGACTGGTCGCTCAGAAAGTATGATAAACGGGCTATTTCCCCTCAAGTCCTGCAGCAGGAGTTTCAGTCGATGCAGGAGACATATAGAGATTATACTGAATTCTATACTGATGGGTCGAAATCTTCATCTTTTGTTGGTTGTGCCGTATATTCTAGTTCCTTTGAGAAAGCTTTACGAATGGATGGTATGGCAAGCATTTTCTTTGCAGAGCATTATGGTGTCTCTCTAGCCATTGAACATATCATGAGTAACAAAATATTAAAGGCTATCCTTTTTGTCGATTCACAAAGCGTGATACAGGCTGTCTCTTCTAGACTTCCCACAAAGAATCTTCTTGTACTACATATACGGTCCAAAATAAACCGGGCTCTCAAACTCGGACACACCATAATATTCTGCTGGGTGCCCAGTCATGTTGGAATTCCAGGGAATGAGCAAGCAGATAAACTGGCTGCAGGTGCAAAGGACTCGGCAACATCTCTTGGGTTACCCTATCAGGACCTTAGGCCCCTTTGGAAGAAATCACTTTTGAAGGCATGGCAGTCGGAGTGGGACGCGGAGAGTAACAATAAACTTCATGTCATTAAGCCCATCTTGGCTCTGTGGGAGAGCTCATTCCTTAAGGAACGTCGACTGGAGGTTCTCTTTAGCCGCCTGAGGATTGGCCATTCACGTCTGACTCATCTACATCTTCTTTGTGGCGAAGACGAAAAGCTCTGTGCTCATTGTGGAGAAGTACTCACAGTTTTGCACATTTTATGGCATTGTAGATTTCATCACCAACATCGCGGACAAAGTTTTCCTGAACTTTTTAGAGGTCACCTTCCATTTCATCCTATGTTTTTGCTTGGTGATCATCCTTTAGTGCCACTTAACCGTGTTATTGACTATCTTAAAAAGACCGGATATATACATCAGCTGTAACTTTTACCATGAAAACTTTAATATCTCTTTCCTAGTATAGCCGTCTTAAGTAATTTTGTCTGGCGCAATATAGCCAAAGTCGCTCTTGTGCCATTAAACCCCAATCATCATCATCTAGATCAGTTGTTGAAGGGAACAGGTTACCTGCTGACCTAGCAGATTTATAGCGAGTTCGTTTCAGGGCACTCGTGCCCACGCGTGCCCACTCGCAGCGTGGAACGGGTTCGTTTCGGCCGGCACTCCACGAGCGGTTGCACTCTCCGAGTTCGTTTCAGCGCTGACACCCCACGCGTGCATGCACTCGCTGCACCGAGAAAATCGGGAGTGCGCCAAAATGCAATCCCGTCATGCCTCGCTCCGGTGGGGCCGGCGAGGAGCGGGAGCAGACGACGAGGGTTCGTCTGCTACGATGTGTCGCGGAACCGAACAAAAAAAAAAGAAAAAATAGATTTTCTGATAGAAATCGCGTCCCGCGGGCAACGAAATCAAACGCGAGCTTGAATTGTGAGCGTCTGCTATTTCACGAAGGAAGCAATCGACAACCCGTGATTTATTTGCAGGTTTTAAATAGCTCTGTTGCCGTACAAACGCTGAAATATACCAGTGTGTAAAGAAATTCTCAGAACAAACGCAACAACGGCCCCCGAGATGTCTATCACCATCCGTGTGCGGGTGAAAAATTTAACATTTGTCGACAAAACTCCCCCAGCAGAAACCTCTGACTGCCAAATAAGCACCAGAGAAAGCTAAAGATGGAGACTTTACCCGAGGATGGGGCAACATCATCATGTTTATGTCAGCTAACTTGTCCCGTCGTATTTTGGTCGAGAACGCTCTCGTTCTCGACGCCCTCACCAAGGCTAATATCTAATCCACCTATAATGCCGATCCAAATCGAAAGTCCCAGTTTTGCTGGATGTTCCGACAGGCTAGTTTTAAGCCATACCCTTTCAGTGGTTCACGCATAATACCATGCTCAAACGGATCAAGCTTCTGCTCGGAGAGCATCATCAGTTTTCTTCAGCGTAAACGGTTATAAGAATTGAAAGATCGCAACCAGCTGCTTTGTAGACAGCTGGTTGCGGAAATTTACGCCGTCTGTGATTATCTCTACGGCAGCCTAGCTGCTTGAAGTCATCGCAGCTATAAACTACAGGTTGCAGCGATTAACGTTTGTCGATAAACGTTGGTAGCGACTGCATTCTCGCATTCCCACGCATCACTCCGAACAGAAAGGCGCCAGTTTCGGTTTGAAATCGGTACCTTTCCTATAACATAGATGGTGGCAGCATCAGTCTTCTGCACTCGGTGCATATGGCGAGTTCGTTTGAGTCCAGTTTTCCGTGCTACACTCGGTGAGTGCGATGCATTCTGGGAGAGAACTCGAATGGTGCCAGTGCGTGTGAAACGAACTCGCTATTAGATACTCTTGACTACTTCGTTGAAAGGGTAACTGCTTGCTTTGAAAAATATAACTTTTAGATTTGTTGCTTCTCATTTCCTTGTATATAGAGTGTTTATTATTTGATACAATGTATTAGTGCCATTTTGTAATCATTGGTGTTCAAATGGGTTGTATTTGTATATCAGGTGTTTATTATTTGATACAATGCATTAGTGTCATTTTGTAATCATTGGTGTCCAAATCTTTTGTATTTCTATTGCACTGTTGTGCCTCTCCTATCACGGCCCTGTGTGGGCCAGGTAGTATTATTAATTTAATTAAATAAATAAATAAATCGCATGTTCCATAGCCTCTAGTAGAACGCTCTCTTATTCTAGGCTCCCGCTAGTAGTTCCCTTGTAGTCGCTGCGGTGAACTCTTTTCGTCAGAAAGGCGAGAAAAGCGAAGTAAGTTAAAACTCGATTTAACGAAGTCGAGGGGAGCTGCGAATTATTTCGTTAAATCGGGAACTTCGCTAAATCGGGTGAGGCATTTTTTGAACATTTAATTCGGCACAATCGATTATGTAGCGTAGCGGCATCCAGAAAACTACGGTGGCATCATATTTGCGCAGCGTAAATGCGCTGAAAATGTAAAATTGCGGCCTACCGAAACGACAGAGATCGCTAGCACGTAAAGAAAGAGAACGAGAATTGTTACCTCAACGAAGAGGGCCACAGGGGACTACACGTTTATTTTCCAGCAAAGAAGTCGGTTATCTTTGCTTGCGTGCGCTTTGTGAGCAGCGGCCGGACTGACTTCTCGTAGGCCTGAAGTGCATCCAGCGCATCTTCGGTTCCCTCGTGTGCTCCAGCAAACTGCCGCAGCAGGTCAATTGCATCCATCACTTGGCCTGGTGTCGGCACGGGAGCTTCGGTAACCTCACTGTCGTCGTCAACATCGTCAGCCGCCACTCCCTCCACGCTTCCAACAAGCCTCAAGATGTCCCCGTCATCCAGAACTTCAGTCGTGACGGCGTTTGCGTCAGCGTTTACGTAGTCGGAGAAACTCATCCCTGTCGGCACTTCATCCGCTAAGCGAAGGCGCTCCCAGGCATCTTCGTGCTGGTGCACGGCGCCCGCGCAGTCCGGTGCAGCTTCGGCAGTTTCGCGGCCCGGCGTACCGAAGCCAGAATTTCTGAAGCAGTTGACAATTACCGACTGCCTCGTTGCCCTCCAAGCCGCCGCCACCATCTCAACCGCCATGAAGACGTCGATCTTCGTATCGCGCTTCAGGTCCAGGTTCAGAAGAACCCTTTCAACGACTCGACGCTTGTATGCGCACTTAACGCTATTAATAATCCCTTGGTCTAGAGGCTGGACCACGGACGTAGCATTTGGGGGGAAGTACCGGAGCTCCACGTTGGTGAGCTCAACCGCTGGCATGTAGTGGGCGGTGCAGTTATCCAGCAACAGGCAGACGTTCCTTTTCTGGCGGCGCATGTCGCTGTCAAATTCTTCGAGCCGTGTGATGAAAATGGCACGCGACATCCAAGCTTTTGAGTTTGCAATGTACTTCACAGGAAGCCTTTTCGTGCCCTTAAAGCATCGCGGCCTTGCGCTCTTGCCGATAACATGGGGGTCTCGTTTGTCGCTGCCGTCCATGTTAACGCACAGCAAGAGAGTGAGCCTCTGTTTGCTGTGCTTACCGCCATGGCACGTCTGGCCCTTCAGCGCGAGAGCCTTTTTAGGTAGCATCTGGTAAAAGAGGCCGCTCTCGTCGGCATTGTAGACGTCGCTGGGAGTGTATTTTCCAAGAATGTCGAGCACATTTTCTGACAGCCAGTCGCCGACTACAGCCATGTTCACACAGCTCGCTTCACCGCTGAGCACCTTCCCGACGATGCTGTACCGTTCTTTGGAAAACCGGGAAATATCCGCAGAAGAACGATAGCGACCTGATACCTGATTGCACAAAACAAGTTGAAGCATACGAGATCACCGAATTGCAACAGCGCCATTTATGGCATGCGACACGATGCTTTTCTTTTTTACTGCTGGTGCCATCTGGCGAATTCAACCCAGACTTTTAACTTTCGTATTGCGCGCGCAGTTTGGAAAGAGCGGGACTCGCGTGCTCCGCGACGTTGCCGTTGGCTCGTAATCGATAAAGTTTTGGGAGTTCTCTAGAACACGGACTTAAAATAAGACCTTTTTACCCTCATTTCCCGAAAAAAAGTTCGTTAAATCGGGACGGATCACGAAATTGACTTCGTTATTTCGAGTTAGTAAAAGCATTGAACCCTATGGGCGTCTGTTGGGGAATCGAGATATCTTCGGTAAATCGGGAACTTCGTTAAATCGGGTTTCGTTAAATCGGGTTTTGACTGTATATGTAATGGCTTGTAGAGACAATAGGCTAGATGTGTCATTATATGGCGGCACTGTGTTGGACTGTAAGTGATAGATTTAGCTAGTCGGACGAGTCAGACTCGAAATTTGTCCCCAAAATGAAGTAAGCCGTCCAGCACCAACCGACGAAGGAGACAGTGTCGTACGCAAACTTCAATATAATTTAATTTCGGGAACTTGGATTTGTTTTTAGGTTTTGTAGTATACAGATCTTTTGTCGCATGACCATTTCATTAACCTGCAGCCTAAAAGGAGAGCATATGCTAGTTTGGTTTCGGTTTGAGGATTTCAGTTTGAACACATTCCTGCCGCTGGGTGGCGTACATGTCGGAATGGGGTTCCTTGATTTCTCGCTTTTGAAACTTCATTGATTTGTCTTTCAAACTCTATACCTTTGTAAGAACTGCTCTTGTAAATAAATAGGACGTAACACAAAACCAAGCGCTTTATTTCGCTTCCAAAAGAACATTAGATGGATCTTATCAATCACGAACGTGGACTTATGTTCCCAAAACCTGCTCACGTTCAACACCACGGGACACCGCCGTAGTTTGAGAGTTGTTTTAGAACGTCGAATTAAAATGTGATGCCTTATTATTTCGGCATTCACTCCTTGTCCCCTGAGCTACAAGAAAGGATGGCTGAAGAAGGAGATGAACCCAACCCCGAATTAAGCGACTATGTTAAGCAATTGGTGCTTTTAATCCTTAAGTGGAAAGAGCAGAGGCGTTTTTTCAGAGTCAACGAAATAGCCAACGATGTACTTTTTTACACAAAGGGTATTTTCGAAGATGAACGATTCTATCGACAAAGAAGCTGGCAAAGTGAATGAGCTACTGTGCGAGCTACAACTGGACCAGCTACTCACGAGAAGTAGGTGGAATGCATACTGGAAAACACATTTTCTGTATATTGAGCCGCGCACTGTAACTCTACACACTTGCTAAAGTTGAGGCTTGGGCGAGTTGGTACATACTTCGGAAATTAAAAACAGCGCGGAAAGACGAGGACCAGACAAAGAAGTGACACGGACGTAGCGCTGACTTACAACTGAGTTTAATGAACGGAAACTCGCAATATATATTTGCGGTGTCACGAACAAAAAAAGAAAAAAAGAAAAAATTCAGCCCATGTGATGTATCACCAATAAAAATAAAATAATGATAAAAACATTGAAAAAACATTGAAAAAACATTGAAAATAAAAATGAAATGCGCCATGACACAGCCGTACAAAGTATGTGCTAAAAATCGAGCAAGTCACGGAACCAGAAAATTCAACTCTTTACCTGATAGGGCCACGGAAGGACTGCTTACACATGCTGCACCCAACCTCGCTATCTCAACAGCCTCTAGAATCGTTCATTAAACTCAGTTGCGAACACCGCAATATATATTTGCGGTGTTCGTGACACCGCAAATATATATTGCGAGTTTCCGTTCATTAAACTCAGTTGTAAGTCAGCGCTACGTCCGTGTCACTTCTTTGTCTGGTCCTCGTCTTTCCGCGCTGTTTTTAATTTCCGAAGTCTCTACACACTTATTAATTTTACACCCTTATTCATGTAAGTGGCTCGCCCTCTGGCTAATGCCTTTATTCGTGTAAGGATGTTAGCCACCGGAGGCAAAGAAAATCGTGTGACTTGCTAACATCCTAAAAACAATATGGCGACCAGTATATGACAAGCAAGCCATATGAGTAAAAGGCGTAGCGAGCCGTTCCATGGTCAGAAGATGGAAAACACAGTTGCCGCGCCATCGCACACTGCCCGTACAGTTGGCACCGATGCCTCCACCGTGCTTCGATACCGATCACACTTGCTAACATTCAAATGGCGAAACTCTCAGTGTTGTCAGACTACCAAGCAATTTTGCGTAAGGTCTATTGTGTCCCAGTACTTCACAGGTTATAGCGACTCGCCGGGATCTAGCCGCACGTTCGTGGGGAAGGAAACAACCGTTTGCGGTGACAACAAATACCCAATCGACCTTTATTCAATGATGCAGCATCAAAGATTATAACGGAGCATTATCGTTGTGCATGCACCTCACGCTTGGGGCATAATGTGCCGTGTCATGCAGTGAAGCTGCAAGGGCACTTGCACTCGCAACAAGGTTTGTTAAAAAAACACTAGTTTGATGGCCTTAGTGCCTGGTTGAACATATTCACTTCTGTATGGTTCATACTCCAGATGTGTGCAGTGCCATAGATGTAAAGCATGGCAAATTTTATGACTTTGGTGCACTGGGAAAAACAGGTACTGCAGTTTGCCACATGCAATTCAAAATACTATGCTTAAGCTAAAAGCATACAGAATAGCCAATGAGGAGAACTTACCAAACGCTCCTGTGGTCTCTCTTGCTCCAGCACGTCTGCACCTGTGCAATCTTCGACTGCCGTCCTTTTCCGTGACTGTCTGCCATATTTCTGCCTGTAGTCGTCAACAACAGCATTATCAGTCACCTTGCGACGCTCATTTCTAAATTTGTTGCGCAATGAAATGGTCCACGATTCCTGTTAAGAAATAAAAATTGTTATGCTACCATTGAAATATCTGTATTTCCAATGCAATACCACATTGTTAAAGGCACTGTGAAGCAACTTTCGGGCTTCAGCCAAATAATTGTGGGTTGAATATTTGTCCCACCTAGAAAAGAAAACAGAAAACAGTTTTCGTGTACGTAATTGTTTTGTATTAAAAAAAAATGTTTAAGATCGTGGCATCTCTAAACCGCTCTAAAATCTAGGGTCACGTGCGTAGTGACGTTTCAATGAGAATCCTCTTGGGGAGCGCAAAGCTTCTATGGTAGACGTATACAGGGAGGGACGTATACAGGGAAATGAATACAACCTTGCCATGGTGACATCGTGCTGTAGTTTCCGTGGCAGACAGAAAGACACGCTTGTGGCTGCAAAGCGGGGAATATATTTTCGTCATTTCTCAGCAGAATTACGACCTTCCAAGAAAATACTACTTGTTTTCTTCTCGTTATACCAAGGTTATCTCTCCAAAATTATCATTCTCCACTATCGTTTGACCTTCAAATTGTTGCGCAGCCTCTTTATGCAGCACATAGCCACTCTCAGTCACGTCACTGAGGTCTGGGTACTGCAGCATTAAGTTGACCTCCTTGAAGTAGAACTTCTTCGAAAAATAACCAAGTCAAGAAACGAAGAAAAAAAAGGAACCAGGGTTGATTATAGTTTACAAAGATTAAAGAAAACAAAACTGCCTACTTTATCAGAACTGCACAAAGAAAACATGTTTCAGAACGCCTGGAGTAAATGCCATATGGATTTATTGGATCTGGCAACCACCATTTTGTGGCAATGAAATGTGACTTGCTGCAGAATGGCAGCTAGTTTTGCCTATTTTGGTAAATTAATATATTGTTTCCAAAAAGATCAAAACAGTGAGTATCAAAAAACACGTGTTACTTTAACTTCACATTCTGGCTGTTCAGACAGGTAGCAGACAGGGCCACAAAAACGAATGATTCAGCCTTGTACTTTATGCCATGTTTTACATCTTGCAGAAAATAACAAGTGTGCACTATCCGTTCAGCTTTTCTGGGTCGGATGCATATGTGAAGGAACTGCTGCTTTAGTTGCACATGCAACCTTGGTGCTAACAAAACAGGAGCAGGGTCAATGCTGGCATTTAAAACAGGAAAATAGAGCTTCCGGTATGCCTCATAGCGGCGACATGTCACCAAGAGTCTTGGCTTCTTCAGGGCGTTTTTCAGGCCCTGGAGAAGTCAAGACACTCGGTAAAATATTGGCACGCCGCTTTGAGCCATTGCAGAAGCTCTATTTTCGCCTTGTTGGTACTCAGCTTATCACAACACAGTCATGCAAGCAATAACGTTTGTCATGCATTCAACTATACGGTGCTGCTTACCTAAGGCCGTATCACCCGAGACCGCAGGCCTGTCAAAGCATGGCCATGGTAAGGCACTTGCCTTCTCACTTTTTTAAGAGAAAGGACTACTTGCATTTATTCCTTTTTCTTAATTCCTTTCCTTTTAGCTGATGCTTTCTACTTTTATTTAAGGTGGGATTGCAGTCCAAATCAGACCTATAGCTATCGCAGTATGAAACACTTTGAATGCACTGTCAAGAGAGATGTAAGCTAGGCTCTGACGCATGCTCAGTTTCATCATTGCTTGATACAAGACATTGACGACCTTGTTCGCTACAGTTGAACCCATGGGTTCCTTTCTCATGAGCACTTCATGCAGCGCTCCAAAGCTTGGCAAAGTAAATGACTACCCATCAACATCAATCAAGGCGGACCTGCACATTTCGTAACGAGAGAAAGGTAACATAGCTGATTATCAGCCTTGTTACTAAAATATGCGAAGGAATACAGGCTGTATACATTTACCAGCACATTATGCATAGTAAAACTTGAGAGTCCCGTGTTCTTACATTTCAAGGCCGGAGATGGTGCCAATATCATCACCTCGAGAAGACGATGCTTGGCACTAACCCTCACTT